GACTGTTTCATCACAGAAGTTAGTGCAGATCACATCAGATTCAGCTTTCTTGGACATAATACGAACTTTTCATTAATAATTGCAAATCAAAATTGCATTCATTTTGTTTTATAATATTTCCACAATGTATAAATTATATTAATTGTATTAAAAATATTCTGTGAGAATTCAAACTCTAACAAAATTTGGTCATCGATTTCATCATACCTATTCGATAACTGTTGTCATGTACTACCTGAGAACATCTCAATTTACCTTTCCTCGATGGCGAAAGCGACCCTTTCCCATGATCCCGATCTCCCAGCCATGTGTTACTGATTTTAACATCATAATTAATGATCGAAGGAGACAGTCATTGCCTGTTTCATCACAGATATAGAACCCTGTGTCTCTCTATAGGAACACCAAATATGATCTCCTGTCGATAATAGATTATTGTCTCCTCCGATTTGTCTCCATCTCCAGAGTCATTGCCTGTTCATCTAGGATTAAAGTAATTGAAATTTCCTGTGTCAGTGCCAAATTGTACTCTATCGGATTTTCACCTTACCCTTGACCAATGTCACCTTTGAAGACAAACCTTCCGATCCAGAACTTTCCCAATGATAATGTATGAACTCATAGTCTCCTTAGTTCCAATGAAACCTAATTATTACCTTGTAGACACCATCAACTTCAAGTATTTATCGACTCGCAAACAAATGTAAATTCTCTCACTCTCTCTCTCTCTCTCTCAAGCCATGCTGTGGTGTCTAGACCTATTTTAGCTCAATATATTATAAGTTATTTAACGAGAAAATGTATAATATGTATTTTCCTTTACAAATAAACAGTTATTTGTTTTTTTAATCTAGATTCTGAGTGTCTTGCTTCCAACGCTCTCTCTCACTCCTCCATCCCAAATCTGACCGCTTACACATGCTTCTCGCATGACTTAATCCAACTTAATTCACCATGCTGGCTTCCGTGTCAACGAGACATGGTGGTGTTGGTCCTGATGAGGCTCCAAACAAGTTCTGACCCTCCAGTCACAATTCTATTTTCCGTATATTTTTAATTTAAAAGGTCTATGGTCATTTCTTAATTATTGTTTATCCATTTTCATCAGTCCAATGAAATAATTCAAAAAATATGCATCCTACAAAAAAATCATTGAACCAAAAATGTCAGATTTTAAGGGAGTCACAAGCTGGTTATCAGTTTCATCATAGATGGCACTAATAATAAGCTTCTAAGAAGAGTCAATTCTAATATATGAGGTATTAAGCAATAAGTTTTCTTTGTTTATTACAACTAAAATTAAGTCTTAACTTAATAATAAAAGAGAAAAAAAAACAAAATCCAAAATTTTGGATTTTACAAAGTTGTAACATTAAAATTAAATTACATTTCAATGTTATTCAATTTAATCTCAATGTTAATTCTGAGAAGGAATATCAAGATTTTACAGATATGTATGTTAATATAATGTTTTATAATTAAAATCTTTTAATTTTAATTAAAAAGTGTCTTAATTATAATTATAAAATTAATTTCTTTCACAGAAGAAAACAACAATGGTAAAATATACATGCAATTTTACAAATATTGCTAATTACAGTAGAACACCTCTAATCCGTCACCTTTGGGACTAGGGGTATGGTCGAACGCAAAAAAGGTCGGATTATCAGAAAAAAGTAAAATAAACAATCTTCCCCTTTGTCCAGTCTTTGTAGCACTGCTAATTTTTCATTCAATGAAAGAGTAACGTGTTTACGTTTCACTCCTGAATGTTGAAAACACGCACAAAACTGTACATGTACACACAATGTAAAACATATACTGTAACAAACACAGAAAAACGCCACGGACGGTGAGTCACCGACGAGTCGGGACAAGTTTCTCGACTCCGACCACAGTCGGATTAACCAGAGTGACTGACTAGAACGGTTCTACTGTAGTAGCAAATGTAAAATTATATTTAATAGCTTAAATAAACAATTATAATGCAGAAACCTTTTTTCTAAAATATTCTGGACATTTTTTTTTACATCTGTTCTTCTTTTAATAGGAACATTTTCTAATCCCTAAATAAAATAATTATATTTATTAATCACTAGTTAATAAAATAAAACATTTTATGAAAAAAATAAAAGCTACCTGTATGACATGGGTTGTAGATGGAAGACCTTGAGCAAATAATAGAGTAAGAAGCTGCTCATCAATTTTACCATCCAGAGAATGCAAAAACAAAACTGTATTTGCTATCTATTATCATTTAAAAAAGTAGTAAAGTTAATAAATTTTATTTAAATCAATATGAAATTTTTTAAAATGTTTTTCATGAATTATGTATAAATTTTAATAGTTAGTTAATTTTGATCAAAATACATTACTTTCTAAACAATTGTTAAAAAAAGTTGCTTCCTAAAATTTTGTCTCTTTGTCCCCCAAATATGCTTAAGGATGCTAATAACAAAGGAGCAATTGCTTATTGTCTCATCATCACAATGCAAGGCTGCAATTTTTAATCACATTTTAATTTAAATTACCACATTACTTCTGGTCCAGACTGGAAGTTTGTATATAGTTAATCAGAGCCTTCAGTTCCTAAGCTTTCCATATCTAGTTTCAATATTCACCTAACTCTGTTTTCAAAATTAAGGAAGAATGAACAGACAGACAGTGACAGTGGGAATCTAGAGATCTGCAATTTGAAAACTGCAGCCCAATGATAGAGACAGTTTTAGTTTATTGAAAAAATCTTCTACACTATTCTCTTGCATAATTATTCTATTAACAAGCCACCATTTAATACACTAAAGCCCCAACTAGAATGTTAGGATTCCTATATTTAGAGACTCCCAATATCATAAAAGTATCAATACCAGTATCATGAATAGTTTTAAAATATTGATACTGGTATTGATCTTAAAGTATTGACACCAGCCAGCATCAGAATTGAGTATTGAAACCAGAAATCTTGCTGGCTGTTGCTGTTCAGTCTGTGCTTAATTTTGAAACATTTTGTGTAATTGAAACTTTAAATTTTAACGTAAAATAACGTGCTTCATTCTAGTTAGTTATTATTAATAAATTATTAAAACTGATATCTAATATAACTGTTAACAATACTGTATCAGCTAATTTGAGATTTTAATATATTTCAAGTTTTTCAAATAATTGGCAAATGATTTATAAATAGTAATCTACACTAAGCATACAGTATACACACCTGAATATGAAATTTGACGTAATAAATTTATTGATTTTTGATTATTAATATTTTTTAAGTAAATTTAACTTAACAAAAAATAGTGTAAGATTTTGTTTCAGTTTCAGCCAAAATTGACTTTAAAACCCAAGTATGGTTTTGGATTTGGCTGCAAAATCTAATTTTCATTGACTCTCACTTGTCTATGGAAAATATAATGATACTAGATCCAATAGCCGAGGAAAAGTATTGATATTGGTATCAGTATTGGGTCAAAAGTATTGAATACAAAGTATCAATATGATATCAGTATCGGCAGTATCGGGAATGTCCCTATCTATATGTCATACTTGCCAGAAACAAACAAAAGAATTAAGTAAGCATATTATATCAGGATCCTATAAAACTGTTTGCTCTAATATGATTTTGTTGTATATATGAACTTCAAAAAAATATTTATGGAAACAGTTCATATTTTAAGAAACAATCAGTGTAATCCAACAGTGAGCCTTCGTGAACAATGGACCATCTTATTAAAATAATTAATTATTAAACTCTTAGATTAATTCCGGTAAATTGGGTTTGTTTATGAAATAACTTAAATATTAAAAAGTTTTATTATATATATTTTTATAATATTTTTACTGTTTTTGTTGCTATTTTTAATCATTCTAAACTTTCAAAATGTTATTCTAAATATATGTTCCAAAAATCTACTTTTTTTGTTTCTAATCTAATTTATGTTTTAATGTTCTTATTTCATTTTTTTCTAATTAGTTTATGATGATTATGTAAATATTATCAAAATTACTTCAAATTATATTTTATAAGTTTACATTTTGTTTTTTGAGCATATTTAATAATTTTACACAACAAGTGCCGTTTTAACCAATATTTTTTCATGGAAAAATAATGTAACACCAGTGACACATGCATGGGTCGATTATCTATTAATGATTTTTATTCAATTTATTCAGTAATTTATTACTGAATAAATTATAAATTTTATGTAAAATGATAAATTTTACATAAAATTTATCATTTTATGTAAAATTTTATCATTTTACATAAAATAAATGTAAAATTATTTTACATTTATTTTATGTAAAATAAATGTAAAATAATTTATGTAAAATAAATGTAAAATAATTAAGTAATATTATTCAATTTATTCACAATAATTACTGAAATAAATTTCAAAAATATAAGGCTAAGTCCTCTTATGACATTTCAAAAACTGTATTAACTTTGTCAAAATTAAATATAGCATACAAAAGAATAAGCAATTATAGCACGCTCAATAAAAATAATATTAAATTACTCAATTTAATAAAAATTAGTAAAAATATTTTTAGAATTTTCTCTTAAAAATTCTAGAACTTAATTCAGTTACATCCAAAAAATTTCTAGAACTTACTTTTGCTACATCCAATATATTGTAAATATCTCCAGGTTTAATTATTACAAAACTAAATGTTTGTTTAAAACGAGGAATACTATAAAAAAAACAAGCAAACAAATAATTATTACTAAAAAAAATACATATTTCTAAAAATATTACAATAAAAATGACTGAAAATAATAAGCTTATGCTAAATGGATTAATATAATAAACTTTCTTCATTAATTAATATCAAATTATATAATCAATATATATTCAGTACTTTAGTATTAGTTACAATGCAACAATGACTAATAGATTGCATGCATTAACCATAAAAAAAAAATAAAGAATGAAATGATTTAAAAGATATGATTGATGTGTTAATATTTATAAAAAATATCTATTTTTAAAATTCTCTGCTAAATTCTGATTACTAATTTTTTTTATTTTTTTAGTAATGAGAAAATTCTTCTTATATGGGTAAAATAGTACAGTAATAAATTTTATATTCTTTATCATCAATAATGGCTGTTGAAGGAAAAGATCATCTCCCAGAATCCTGAGATACATTTTATCATTTTACATAAAAACAAAAAGTTGTTAAAAGCCCAATAAAAATATTTTTTATTGCTTATAATAAAATACTTTCAGAAATAATAAATATGCATTTCTATAATAATAATAATGACTAAAATTAGAGCTGTGTTTGGCATAAATTTAGTTGTTTCAAATAAACATATCTCATTAATAAAAACTTTTGGCCTTAAGTTATGTGTATCTCAGAGTTAAATGATTTTGAAATTAGAAAATGTAAGTTGTGTATTCTGACATTGAGTTACATGGATTTAATTTGAAAATTAATTTCCACCAAAATGTAGGTGTTTTTTGTAATAAAAATTACATAATAATTATTAAAATTATTATTTTTAGAAAATTGCTAAAAATGGTTTTTAAAAAGCCATTAATTTTTTCTAATTTCAAGTATTAAAAATCTGGCAATATAGAAAATTTCTAGCATGTGTTTAAATTCATTTCATATTTGGTTTTAAGACTTTCTTATTCCTTAAATTTCAGATTTCACAATTATGTATCATTTTTCTCAAGGTAAAATTCTTATGTAAATTGATCATACAAACATTTAGGCTGTAAAAAGTATTATGAGTGGTATGCAGATGACTGAAGAGGTAGAGTTACCACCCAAAGTTCATTCAAAGATATTTTAAGCCTCCAGGAGCTAGAGGCCAGTGAGGAGGAGGAAGATAAATTTGATTTAATTATCAACCATGTTGATGAGGTTACAACATCTTCACTTCCAATCTGACTATCTGACCTGGAAAGCAGATTCAATTAAGTGTTGATGGGAAAGATGATGTCCCAATAATTGCAAGTAATAAACAGATATAATAAATATCCCAATTATTTACCTTCACAATTTAAAAATAGCAAAGAGGCAAACAATTATATAATAGATTTTCAAACTGACTTTCATATGAAACTGATCTAGATACTTCAACAAAACTGCCTTGAAAAAAGAAGAAAAGAAGACAGATTAAGAAACAGAACTAAAATTTTAAGAATACACAAAGAAGCTTATGCTAGAGTGAAGAAAGTAGATAGAAGATATGTTCAATACATTCCAAGATCAGCTCTTAGCATGCCAACATGCAAGTCAAAATGCTATCGTAAATGTAAATACAGATACTGAAATTTCTACAGACAAAGATCGTATTAATATAAATCAAACACTGTGGAAAAAATGGATCGGAACATCAAAATATTCATTTGTGCTTTGGTAGACAGAAAAGGATAAAAGAAAATTACCAGTCACTGGATCTAAACAAAAGAAATCCTTGGTATATTATTTAAAATAAAAAGTCTGAAGAATAATGTTCCTATCTATCTTGTCATTAAAGGAAACAAAAGTGTATGACTGGTTAAATAAAGAATACATTACTCCACAAAACACTGAACCTAAAATTAATTCTGCCATAAGAAGTTTGACTTCAAAAAGGTATATGAGAGCTTATTAATCCTTTAGCTAATCTTTCAATTCATTACTGTCAAGCTTTTTCAGGATCTGGAGCCACCAATTTGCTCAATTGCAGATGTTTACACACTTGGAGCAGACAATGTTAAAGAATGACTAGCATATTGCTTGACTTCTGTCATTTTGCGATAGAATTGAGGCAGAGCTAAAAAGAAACAAGCAATCACTGCACCTGTTAGGCATAGAAGAGGCAATCCTTGTACCTACTGGCCATGGGCAACACGACCCTTGCACTTTCCAGGTATGGAGAGACAATCCAAGGACAAAGCAATCACCATTGATTGGTTTGTTCTTGTGTTTTGTTCATTTTTTGTGCCTATTTTCCATTAGGTGCAGATAATGCAGTTTTATTTTTGACCCTAGAACTAAATTCTGTTAGGCACACTCAATTGCACCAGAGAGCATGGGCATTGTCAGTTTAATACCTCTGTATATCAAAAATAAAGTCACGGATTCCTATTTATTACATTTAAATGGATCCTCATTACATTTTTGGATTCCTCATTGCAATTAATGGAAAATGGCAAAGTCAATTCTATAAGCTCATACAAGCATGCTAACAACCGTGGTACATTGCACAACAAAGTCATATGATTTGTGTGATATCGTTTTGTTGAGCACACTCATGCTACAACTTTATATTTAAAAAGCAGTCATGGATTTTATTACATTTTTGGATTCCTCATCAAAATTAATGAAAAATGGTAAAGTTCAATCAAAATTAATTAAATAGATTTTGAGAATAAACACAATTCTGTAAGCCACATAGAAGACACTTCACTAATGCTCTGCCTCAGTAGAGACCTATGGCAGAAAATTACTTAAAGATGGGTACAAAAGAAAACATTTCCATGTACCAGATGAAAAAAAAAACCAATGCAATTTGTACTGTTCTTACAAACTTGGAAATATATCTGAAGAAATATATCTATATACCAGCAATAAAAGGAGGAAGCTTGGAAAGAAAATATGAATGATAAATAAAAAGTTGTAAAAAACCAAAATGTTCATTGTAATCATTGATATTCAGGGAGTGTTGCTGGCTCTGTATCAGAAAGCTAATATTCTATATTTTAAAACTAACAAGTAAGTTATGCTTCCACAATACATCATTTATAATATTTCAAAAAAGTTGGCTATATGTTACTTGTCACAGAAAGAGAAGGAAATATGATAGCAAATGTGTTTGCATCCTGTCTTAATTAATTTTAAGCTAAGTCATAGAATTAGAAATAATTGATTTTCTTGAATCAAATATTCAAAAATTATTATATCCTGCATTGGTGGTATTGACAATATTTACTTGCTGTATTATCCACAGTGAATGATATTTTCCACCTCAAATTACATAAATCAACTTTGTGGCAGATTATGCAGATAATTGCCATTCCTAGAATTTGACAATTCTGAAAAATCCTGTAATGTGTCTTCTCTGTACTTGTCAAACTTTAATGTCATACATTGTTTAGTTCATGAGATATTTTGTTTACAGAACAATGTCCTTGCACAAAATCCTACTTCAAACTTTATGATAGCTTATTCTCATTTATTTCCAGCTGAAATTGTTTCAAGGATCAGAAAGTGATTTTTCTATTTTTCAGGCATGAAATAAACCTGTGAAAACATTTAAAACATTGAGGGTCATAGCACCCCAGACTATCTTACACAGACAAGGGTTCAAGGTTGTAGCTACTTTCAGACTGAATACAGTAGAACGGCATTTATCTGAATCAATTGGGGACTGGGGTTGTTCGGATAACTTATTTTTCGGATAACCGATTATGTACAAAAAAATATCCAATGTTGAAATTTTTCTCTGTTGCGTGTCGCTTTGTGTTGAATTTTCATTGATGTAAAGCCTAATGTAAACTTTTTTAAATAATAATTGTGGCTATTGTATTGTTAAAAATTATTTCTTTATTTTTTACAAACAAAATAAATATATTGAAAAATATAAAAACAAAAAAAAATTATACTTTAGAAGTTAATCTAGTATCAAAAACGTTCGATTCAGCACGGCACACAGTCCTCAGAAAAACACCACACAAAAGTGCCAGTGCTGCCAGCTAAAACACATATCAACAGTAAGGCTAAGACTCCACTACCGTAAAAACGGCGTAAAAACCCCTCACCGTAAAAACTTTTAATCACATGACCTATTTGCATTTGCGATGGGATTACGGTGGAGGTCCGGCTAGGGCAAAGTTTTTACGGCGACGGTGCTGCCCAAAGTGTTGAAAGTAAATACTTCTTCGCACGTGAATTGGTGGAAACGGAAGATGGTTGTATACGTGATATATCGATATAAAGACAATGATTATATTCTACGAGTATTTTCTGTACTATAATTACAAATGTAGTAAAAATAATATCGTTACTTTAATATACTAACTTTTATTATCGTATTATTAAGATAATATACAGCACTTATAAGCTTAGCTTTTTTATTATATACTCCTCTAAATTGAAAGATTTCCTTTGGTATCCATTATTATAATCGGATTATCTCTTGTCGTAGATACACGAATACTTTCGATAAATCTTTCTGGATCAATTCTAGAGTAGCCACGAGAGAACGTACACAAAAACTCGTTTTCCGCCATTTTAGCTCGTGTTGCGATGACCTAGATTTCACTGACTTCTGATTGGTGGAAGATACCTCTTTACGGCCGTATTCGCGTCGAAAGTTGAACATAGCTCAACTCGCTTTTACGTTGGTTTTACGACCTGCTCAGGCGTAAGATATCAGGGTAAGATATCACGTGATTAAAAGCTTTTACGGCGAGGGGTTTTTACGCTGTTGTTACGGTAGTGGAGTCTTAGCTTAAAAATATTGGAGTAGCCCAAGATATAGCCAAAGATTGCAGTGCCACAGCACTAGCGAAAATTTAAATTTGCCGACTGGAATTCTTTTGGATAACCGACTTTAGGATAAACGACGCTCTACTGTATGTCATTACATTATGTATGGCTGCCAAACATTCATGGCATCATGACCACCTCTTGCAACAATTGTATAAAACTTCTATGACTTCTATTCATTATTTTTGATGATATCAAATCATCAAAAATGGCATCAGAGCAATTGTGTGACAATAAAGAAAAAATATATTTGAACACACGTGTAAGGTAGCAATTTTCCTCAATAGTTTATTGAGAGCCAGTGATAAGTGGAAAAAACTTTTCAATCAAAATTTTTATATAGATAGATAGCATATACAGTAGCATGAAAATATCATGGAAGCACAGCTAAATAAGTTAATTTGGTGAAAAATGCCTGTGTGAAACTAGTAGGTGTGGAAAATTACTGTTATTTCATATGATCATGGGTTATTCTAAAACATAACTAATAAACAATAAATATTAACAATAAACAAAAATATATAAATTATTTACTTCACTATAAATATAATATGGTAAATAATAGTTTATATAATTTAAATACAGACATGTAGGTACCATACCTTATATAACAAAAGCAGTTATCTGAAGTAACAAGTGCAGCATCATCACATAGTTTAATCTTCTCAAGTAATTTGAATGGGTCTTCTGTTTTAGATAAAGGCACAATGACCTGAAAACAAATAAATAAAAACTTATTCTTGTCTGTTAACATGTTCAATACATTATGTGCACATTCTTTTATATTCTTAATATAACAATATGAAAAAACTTCTTATATCAAAAATCTGATATGATGTAAGATTAAGTATTGACTTTAATATGTTACATTATTGATACTGCTTATTATCATTATATGATATTTTCTGTTGAGATAAATGAAATTTTGACAATATAAAATAAAATTATGTATTTATTAAATAAATTATAACAAATGAACTTCCTATCTACCACTGGAGGTAATATAATTCTCTCCACGTGAATATAAACCTTCTAAATCCCCAGTGTTACTCTTTTTGGCAAACGTTTTCGACCCTACCAGGGTCTAAAACGTTATCAGACCCTACCAGGGCAAATGTTATCAGACCCTGGTAGGGTCAAAAACATTTGCCAAAAAGAGTAACACTGGGGATTTAGAAGGTTTATATTCACGTGGAGAGAAAAATAAATTATATTTTTCTAAACAACATTTCACAGTTTTATTATTTAAATGTCTACTAGGACAGATCATATTACTAGGACTTATTATACCAGTGTCCAAGTCCTGCAAAATGAGGAAACATATCCAGAGAAAAAAGGAAAAATCTTTATTGTTGGCCTGATTTACCTGTACACAATTTACACACTTTGCTTGTGTTTCAGACCATTTGGTCCCTCATCACCAGGTTTACTGCCACCATGTGATTATTTTTGTTTATACAATAGAGCGTCTTTTATCCGAAATGTCCATTATCCGAAAGCATTCCAGACGGCAAATTTAAATTTTTGCTAGTGCTGTGGCGCTGCAATCTTTGGCTATATCTTGGGCTACTCCAATATTTTTTTTGTTGATGTGTGTGTTTTAGCTGGAGCACTGGCACTTTTGTGTGGTGTTTTTCTGAGGACTGTGTGTCATGCTGAATCAAATGTTTTTGATACTAGATCAACTTCTAAAGTATCTTTTTGTTTTTGGTTTTTATATTTTTCAATATATTTATTTTGTTTGTAAGAAATAAAGAAATAATTTTTAACGATACAATAGCCACAATTATTATTTTAAAAAGTATACGTTAGGCTTAACATCGACGAAAATTCAACGCAAAGCGACACACAACGGAGAAATATTTCAACACGGGATAGGTTAATATATTTTTTTGTACATAATCGGTTATCCGAACAACCTCAGTCCCCAATTGATTCAGATAAATGACGCTCTACTGTATGTCAATCACTATCAAGAAATTTATAACAAATATAAACAGAGCTGTTTTCATAAATTAAAAACTGCACTGAAAAGCTGAGCGCAACACTAGCACTAGTCTAATGCTGATTTTTTTTTTAAGTGAGCTGTTATACTGTAAAGGTGGTTTGTACTAGCTTTACATATTTTGCTGTTACAGTAGAGCATCATTTATCCGAATCAATTGGGGACTGGGGTTGTTCAGAAAATCGATATTTCAGATAACCGATTATGTACGAAAAAATATATTAACCTATCCCATGTTGAAATTTTTCTCCGTTGCGTGTCGCTTTGCATTGAATTTTCGTCGATGTTAAGCCTAACAAAGACTATTGTTTCGTTAAAAATTATTTTTTTATTTTGTACAAACAAAATAAATATATTGATAAATATAAAAACAATAAAAAATTATACTTCAGAAGTTAATTTAGTATCAAAAACGTAAAATATTTGAGTAGCCCAAGACATAGCCAAAGATTGCAGCGCCACAGCACTGGCAAAAATTTAAATTTGCTGACTGGAATTCTTTTGGATAATTGACTTTCGGATAAACGATGTTCTACTGTATATTGTTTTGTTTTCATTAATACTTAATTAGAATACCAGTAATCATTTATTCTATTTAGAGACAATATATTTAATACATAGCACTTGTTAACTCAGTTTTGACATTAGAGACAGTAGTGAGATCACTACTGTACTCAGCTTTTCAATTGATTTTGTTACATTTTTCTCAAATAATTTATCTAAAAATTGATTAAATTATGAAAATACTTTTTAATTGTTTTTTAATTTTAAACATTTAAAAAAAAATATACTTTTTTATTTTTATAAAGAAAAAATGCACAGAAAATTAATATGAGGGTAATCTTATTAACAGTTATTCAATAAAATAATAAAATCAATTCTTATTTTATTAAAAAAAAATGTTAAGTTTTACTTTTTGCTTTAATGAGATGAAATTAAATATTACAAAGTCAAGTTATAATCTACTTACAACTAAAAATGGCAATTGTCCTTGACCACCTAATGATCGTTTTTTCATTAAAATATCATCTCTCTTGTTTTTTCTTATTTGTTGCAACTTAAAGAAAAAAAGATTTTTATTATTTATAAAAATTTTAATATTAATAATACTTAACTGTAATAAAAATTCACACAAAAACATTTGAGATGTAAAAAAAATTGTGCCAAGTAAAAAATTATGACAATTTGGATGAGAGTCAAATTTTTTTATAGGAATTTTTCTTTGATAAAGGTAAACTTGGCACTTTGAACTGAAATGTAAAAAACATTAATACAGGTAAAAATCTTATGGGTACTGTTTCAAAATGCCAAGCTTATCTTTGCCCAAAAAAAATCACCTAAGAAAAAATTTGACTGTTATTCAAATTGTCATAATTTTTTACATCTCAGCTGTTTTTATTTTGATATCAATTATTTTTTGGTTAATTATTGTGTTATTACATCAAGACTCAAGATGATGACATACAGTTAGGTTGGTGCTCGGCAACATAACAGCCACTGACTGAATGCTTTCAATATACAGTTAGTAAAATCATTATAAAAAGTTTTAATGTGCATAAATTTGAGCTTTTGTTATTCTGGATAACATTTTGAATGAAAATCATTTGTTTCAATCTAATTTTATCTTTATAAGCATGAAATTAAGAGATAAAAGTAAAATAATGCTATGGGAAACCCCTGTGAACTTTGTTCTAATGATCCAGAAGTTTCATGAGCACCTTACTGATAATGAGAAAGGCTTAAGTTTAAAATTTAAGCTTCCTACACTGAATATTTTCTCTACGACTGTCTGCAGTGCCTGATGAAGAAAAAAAGAAAATACAGCTGTTTTGGTAATTTTTGCACCTTTCGACTGCTTATATTTTGGCAATCCTTTTACAGAAACATCTGAAATTTTGCACACTATCTAAAGAAAACAAGTATCTATCAGAATTACTATAGGCATTTGGGTGTAGAAAAATCAACCCCCAAAAATCAGAAACCCCGATTCCTGGCCTCTCTTCTGCCTGAATATGAAAACATTAAAATCTTACCTCTGACAGCAGCACAATCAATTAAAAAATATACATTTGATATAAACAGTTGCAAAGACAAATAAGTTTAAACTTAGAAAATTTACATGATGTTATTTAGTGAATTTAGAAACACATCCAGTTTATTATAATTACTGAAATACATATATATAACCCATTCAACAGGTATCCGTCTGTCCGTCTCGTAACCGATAACAGACACTACAGGCACCCCTATTGTGTGTCATATTTCAAACATTCAAATTAACAATTTTAATTCTTATTTAAATTAACAATATAAATTTTTATTATTCATTTGGCCAATAAATTATTATTTGGTCAATATAACAATATAAATAATTCAGTATATTTGTAATAGGAATTTATTACTTCAGGGTCTTATATCTCTTGAAGGGTCGCGAGTAGGGGTATGGTTCCTTTGACTTTATTGTTAGTACAGGGGTCTATGGTTTGGGGGGGGTCGCCACCTCTTCATTCAGAGGGTAAATCTTACCATTCAGATTTTAACAGAGCTGTAGAGCATCTTGATAAGAACAAAAAAGTCAAAGGAACCGTGCCTCATGGAAATTTGTAAAGAACGCCCACTAGGGGGCGTTCCGAGCTACTAGTATTATAGAAACCAGATAAATTGCTGATACAGTAAGAAGTTTAGTATACTTAAGAATATAGCAATACATGCCAAACTTTACAATTAAGTACCTTAGCTTATAAATGGTTAATAAGATGTGCTAAATATGTCAAATTGCACAAATGAGGTTTGGGGAGAATTAAAGCAGCTCCTTAAAAATTGACAGTTGAAAATATTATGGTGATAGCTGCAAAAACATTACAATAAATTGAATAAAATGTAATAATGCCTTGACTAAGCCTGTAGAAATTTATTGGAGAAATTTGCCATAAAACAGGGAGACTGTTTTTTAAAAGTAAAATTGAAACCTACAATATCTAAATGCTTGATTAAAAAAAAAAAAATTAAGCATGCACAGATATTATTAGTAGGACATATGAGTCGATCACAGTTACTGAACTATACTTTTGACTTTTGTGAAAGAACGAAACAGAGCTTTAGAAAGAATTAAAAATGAAAATCAGTTTTTATTTTAAAACTTTTTTGTTGCTATTTAATGAATAAAATTTTATGGTAGCTTGAATTAAAATGAATTATTCACTTATTCCCCATGGAAAATTTCCAAATTTATAAACTACATTTAAAAACTTTTCCTGAACTTAGTTAAATAACTAAATAGAAGTTTTATCATCATTTCATAAACATATTTTCTTTTATTTTTCATATTTTTCATAGATATATTTCAATGTTAATGTTTTAAAATTTATTAGAAAATAAAACAATAATACAATAAAAATATATTTTTAAAAAATTTAAAGAAACACTTTTTATTCACATAAGTGCACTAAAAAGTAAAAAAAAAAAAATTTCAGCTTTCACAGTATTTAAATATAATAATTATAATTAAATTAATTATTAAAAATATTAATATAATTACAATTATTAAATTTAGCAAAAGATGGCACCTAAAGCCTACTTCTAGTGGCAAATTATCAATACTTAGCATTTAATTAATAATTGTATTAGTATAGTCCAATATAATCAGGCAATTGTGTGGCTTTAATATATAACTATCAAGTTTTAGATGTTTATATTTATACATTAATCTGTTAATTTCATACTTTCTATCAGTTATGATCAAAATTTGAAATGGAACGTATTACTCCATTTAACATATGACACAAATCCTGCACTTCAGATTTTCATTTATCTGAATTATAATTCTGCAGAATTAAATTTCAGCTAAAGAGGAATTATGTTCAGAAATAGTATAATAATGTCAAAACAGGTTAATAAGATAGATAGTATTGAGTTGTTCGGAAAGAAATTTTGTTTTTTTTTGAAAAAACACAATATTTTTATAATAAATAATTATTTTATTGAATTATATATTGACATTTTGGTCAAATACCTGTTGTCATCGTTTCTGGTAGTGGCATGATTTTACATTCATAAAAGTTTTGATCGCTGCTTACAAAAAACTGATCCAAGTGATTNTAGTGATGTAACGAATATTCGGTTACTATTCGGTATTCGGCCTATTCGGCCTATTTTTCACTATTCGGCCGAATACCGAATATTTAATCACTATTCGGCCGAATACCGAATACCTAAAAACAGGAGTAATAAACAACAAAAACACAGTAAATTAATCATTTTGGTATTTAGAGTTAATGTTATAGAGTTAGTGTTGTTTGTTTATATTTATTTATAACTTGTAACATGTACAAAATAAAAAAGAAAATAATATTAGTCACATGTATTCACAATTCATAATTACAAAGATCAGCACACATACACGTCTATCATTGGAGAATCCTCGCACATCTGAGGGTCAGAAATTTCGTGGTATAAACTACGAAATTTCTTTTGTTAAAAAAAATCCTTATAAAGACGGAACGAGAAAACAGAAAATTAAAAGAGAAAAAGGAAAAATAAAATCAATAAAAACTTCGATTCCCATGAGTTGGGTTCCTTGTTGAGATGAGTACATTTCTGTGTCACGATTGTGTCACCCATCCCCTCATTGGAGCAAGAAAATCGTAATCGCTGACGAAATCGGAGAAAGGTTCGAAAATGAAGACTTGATATAAAAGGGGACAGGCACGATAAGTGTGGAAGTTATTATTGGTGTCTGTGTGTACTCCGAATGTCTATCTCCCGCCGAGATTCTGTCAACCAACATCTTCTTCTCGCCTACAAGACTACAACTGACTTAACTGACCTCAATACATATTCAACTGGAAGAAACTATTGAACGTTTTTTGTGCTGGACTTGATCTCCTATACTAACTAAGGTATTTATCCTGCCCGTGCACTATTGTACGCTCTCTCTCTGCGTAAACTAAACGCGAAATCAGTTGTAACTAGAACTAGAAAATGATCGATGAAACTAGAACAAGAACTATTTTATTTACTAATGTAAACCTACGTTAAACATATATAAATAAACGGTTGTTTATGCTAAACCCTTCTCGAGTGTAGTTTCTTCCGTTTTTCTCTCCATTCCGGGTCCAACCCTCATACCTATCTGCTCGCACGAACGTGTGGTCTCTGTATCGACTGAAGGATACAGTGGTGTCATCCTGACGTGGTATCGAAGAGATACCGACCCTATGGTCACACCCTGCCTATCCTACTTTTTAAGCGCTCGTCTTTGCTCTTCTCTTTCTCTTTCCTCTATCGCTCTAATCCATGTATGCCTGTGCATACATCATAATACGCGCTCACGATACTTTCGATTCGTCACTTTTCCGTTGTAAAGTTCCCATTTTACAATTACGTGACTCAGCCTGGTGATAACAGAGAAAAGAGACAGACAGAACGTCGATATAAGACACAGTTATGATTTCACAGATTTGAGACAGCTTGATAGCCCGAACGGCCCCAGGCTTTCGCCCGTGCACGCTAAGTGACATTCATTCCAAGCATTAGCTTTCCGAAGTCTATGACAACAATTGTTTGGCATTGACGGCCGCGAATTTCGCGCCAATAAGCTACTTCGACTCGTTCGATTATGTTATCGACTCAATTTCATATTTATTTTCACATTTTCACTTCGCGGTCCTTCTCTGTTCTTT